TAGGGAAATCTCCTTTGGCATTAGGAACTTCTTCCTGTTATCCCATTAAGGAAAATTTTTGGTGTTTCGAACGTCATCTCTGCCTTTAAAGGTTAGGATATCTTGTTGGGATATCTATATTGATCCTCAGCATTGATTGAGAAAATACATAACTGTTCAACCCATTCCACATTATTTCCACCTGTAGTTTGATCCTCTGGCACACAACCATTTGGTTATCCACTGCCAGTGTGTTTATCGTAGCATTACAGGCGCTGCTCTTGGACAGTTGCTTGAAAAAAGTGTTAATTGAACGGTACTTCTCTCTTCTTCCTCACTACTCATGTCTCTCTTTTTTCAATTTAATTGTTAAATTTGCATTTTTGGATTATTATTACCTTAAATCATCATGTTGTTCTTGTCTCAGAGCTGAAGTTTATTTATATCGGTGTACGCGATGGATATGCTTCCTAATGACTCTGATTGGGAAAGTTTCAGTGGAAATTACAGTAGCAGTGAGGACATAGAAGAACTTGATTTTCTGTATTGCGGGAGGGCAAGCAGCATTCTCTCTAGTCTGGAGGAAAGCATAGGGAAGATTGATGATTTCCTCTCATTTGAGAGGGGCTTCATACATGGAGACGTTGTTTGTTCTGCGACCGATCCATCTGGACAGATGGGCAGAGTTGTAAATGTCAATATGCTCGTCAACTTGGAAAGTAGTCATGGAAGAATCATAAAAGATGTTGATTCAAAGAAGCTTTTGAAGATTCGTTCCATTTCAGTGGGGGATTATGTGGTTCACGGACCCTGGATAGGAAGGGTTGATGAAGTTATTGAATCTGTCAGTGTCATTTTTGATGATGGGACATCTTGTGAGGTCACTGCAGTGGATCAAGAAAAGCTCTCCCCAATTTCCCCCAACATACTTGAAGATTCGATGCATCCTTATTATCCAGGACAGAGAGTGCAGATCAGGCTCCCAGCGCTGTCTAAATCAGCTACATGGTTATGTGGAGCTTGGAATGAAAATCAGGATGTAGGGACTGTTTCTGCTGTAAAAGCAGGTTTGGTGTATGTAGATTGGCTTGCCTGTGCTCTTGTTGATAGTGATTTGAGTTTGCCTGCTCCTCAGCGTTTGCAGGATGCAAAAAAACTCAATTTGTTGACATGCTTTTTGCATGAAAATTGGCAACTTGGTGACTGGTGTTTGCTTCCTTTGGCTGATTGTACGGGTGGGAAGGAGCGGACACTTTTTGATGCATCTATCATTGAGATCATCGAAAAGGACAGGACGAGGGGCCAGGGGTTTACGGGATTGGACCCCTCTCCAGTTTTTCAGGATATTTTTGTTATTGTGAAGACAAAAACCATTGTTAATGTTGTGTGGCAGGACGGTAGTTGCTCGCAGGGATTGGATTCAAAGTCTCTGCTCCCCGTAAACATTGTCAACGCTCATGATTTCTGGCCTGGGCAATTCGTACTAGACAAGGGTGCTTGTGATGATCCATATGTTTCAGGCAACCAAAAATGGGGTTTTGTGAATTGCGTGGATGCAAAGGAACAGGTTGTTAAGGTGAAATGGAAATCCTTTGGAGGGAACCAGGCCGACATTGTAGGAAGTGACCAGATTGAGGAAACTGTTAGTGCTTATGAACTGGTTGAACACCCTGAATACTCCTTCTCTTATGGGGATATTGTATTTAAAAATTTGGATCAAGCTAATAAAGATCACTTGAACAGAGACTCTGGAATGGGTGCGGATGCTGCTCTTGAAGGCAGTGACCATGGTAAAGATCAGGTTGATTACTTGTCCAGTATCGGATGTGTGACAGGTTTTGAAGATGGTGATGTTGAGGTGACATGGGCTTCTAGTCTCAAAACCAAGGTGCGAGCTCTAGCCATTTTCATTCTTCATCTGAAATAATATTATTACTTTGTTAATTGATTTACCATTTTCTAGTTTTAGTAGGCATTTGAGAGTCCATGATGAGTTTGCACTGTCTTGGACACATGTAGAAGGTGTAGTTCACTTCATTTCTCTATCATCAGTTGTCAGTTGTGCTTTGTGTTACAGAACAAGGGGTGATAGAATGGAAGTTGCACAAGATCCAAAGGCTAATTCTGAATTTTTTATGAAAAAACCAGAGTGCAACTGGCAATGTATGCCCTAGTTAGTTTGGTTATTACTATCTAGAACATGCATATTTCCTTCTCCTCGTTACTCATTACAGATCTTGCTGCTCATGTCGTAAATCTGCAACCCACCCGGCAGCCACTGGACTAGGAGTTGTTTGGACTTTGCACTGCTACTTATAGGAAATTGTCTTGTTCTTTTAGAGAGGAGACCATTATTGAGCTTTCGGCAGAATCCTAGATGAGCCATAAAAATAGAGCCAGCAGGTTACCTGGGTTAGTTCACCCCACCCTGCTCCTAGTGATGTTCACATTATGGTTTGACTTAAAAAAAGGAAAGAAATTTATCGAACACTTTTGTATTCAGGTCTAGTTTTGGGATCAGTATTTTGAATTTCTTTTGCTTTTCCTTTTGACATATATCAGCAGGATTTAAATTTGTGTTAGGATAATCTCAGTTTCAAAGACCAGTTACATATTCTAGTTACTTAGAATGTAGGGCATAATTCATCTTCTGAAAGCAGATTTTTAGTAACTCTCTGCCTTTTGTTCTTCATTCATTGCTGAGGAGATTAATTGAAGCATCAATCTTAAATACCATGTTGGGCATTGTTACAGGTTTCACCTAATCACATTTTTCGAATTGATAGATGTGAAGTTTCTGCCGAAACAATCATGCAACATGAACAACGTGAAGAGGAAGTGATTAAAGAGACGGTTGATCATGAAGAACAATTTTCGATCCTGAAAGGAAAGGTAAATTCAACAACCCCCCCCCCCCCCGCTTTTCATTCATGGTGTTTTCTTCCTCCCCCCCCCCCCCCCCCCCCCCCCCCCCCATCTTGTAGCAAGAAAATAGAGTTGCTCTCCAGTTTTGGGAGTTTTATATGGGTGATAACACTCTGAAATGAATTTTAAGGAAGCAACTTGCATGTCGAGTCTGGAGCTATATGGACTTCTGAAATGGCTTCTGTCAAATCCAGGATTTCAGTTTTGCGACATGTTTCAGCTGTTACAATTCTGGTGAATGATCTGTTGAGTTTTGAAGTATAGAGACATCTAGGATTAATCTGCTGAATAGCACAAAAGTATTCTGTACTACTAAAAACTCACTCAGCTTAATGCCCATTTTGATTGCTTAATAAACTGATGGGAAAAGAAATCAATGAAACATAAGTAGGCTCTAAATTAAATGTTTTGGTTGTTTGATAGAGCTTGTTGTATCATGTGCATTTTCATCTCCTATGAAAATTTGAGCTGAAGAATAGTTACATTCTCAGGACTCGCTAAATTCCATTAGCTCTGGCAATGAGAATGCTAAGTGCCCACGGGAGTCTAGTTCCTTTTCCCGTCCTGAATTCACTCTGGGATTTTTCTCAAGGATTACAGAAGGTATATTTGGATCCTTTGGTTCCACATCAGTGTCTGGCCCAATAGCATCTGATTCTATTTCTGAAGATGGAAATCGATCCAAGACACCTGAGGAGAAAGAAAAGCTGGAAACTTGTGATCTGTTTATGGAGTTTCAACCTTCAGTAGCAGGTGACATCCTGAGATTTGAAGGGACAAGTTTAAAGCCAGAAGCCAATGATGATCAGGAAGGAAAAGAACATCAATCTTCATCTGCCAGCAATAGTTCAGAACAGTTCAAACGATTTGATATGGTTGTTGATTGCTCTGACCACCGCTTTCTTGATGGTGAAGGCAATGCACTGGCATTGTCTCAGGTCAGAAACTTGACTTCATTTTCCCGTAAACTTAGTGGTCAACAGGAATAATCAACCATATGCTTTCTGTTTTTTCTCTACACAGGTGAAAAGAGGTTGGTTGAAGAAAGTTCAACAGGAATGGAGTATTCTAGAAAGCAATCTTCCTGGTATGCTTTTTATCTAATTCTGTACTTCACTTTTGATTGTTATTTTGTGAAGAGGTTCGTTGTTCAACTTTTTCATCATTTCTAAGACCTTTGGTTACTTGAACAGAGTCAATCTATGTCCGCGTCTATGAGGATAGAATGGATCTCCTTCGGGCAGCCATTGTTGGTTCAAATGGAACTCCATATCATGATGGGCTGTTCTTTTTCGATATATTTCTTCCACCGGACTATCCTCGGGAACCACCTGTAAGTTAATCTGAAGTTCCAAAGCTTTTACGCCCTAGAGCTGCTTGAGTAAATGGCTGCAAATCAGGCAGGATTCAAAGACAGCATGGTCTATATAAGTTGTTTTCCCTTCTACCGAAGGGTTAATTTGACTATGTAGTGCTATTGTTCAAAGGGACATGATTTTATTTTATTTTTCAATTAGGGCATCCAATTTAGAATTCTGTATTTTTTTTTTCTTTTAACTGTATATCTACTCGTATGAATGAGGATGTATTCATTTTTTACAAGAAACTTACCTTTGGTCAATTTAATCTCTCGTGCAGTCGGTGCATTATCGCTCTGGTGGACTTCGAGTCAATCCGAATTTGTATGAGTCTGGAAAAATCTGTCTCAGTCTCCTCAACACATGGACAGGCTCAGGCTCTGAAGTATGGAATCCAGAAAGCTCCAGTATTCTCCAAGTTCTTCTCTCCCTCCAGGCCCTTGTGCTTAATGAAAAACCATACTTCAACGAAGCTGGGTATGATAAGCAGATAGGAAGAGCAGAGGGAGAGAAAAACTCTATAAGCTATAATGAAAAGGCATTCCTTATGACATGGAAGTCCATGCTTTACCTTATTCGCCAACCACCAAAGGTAAAGTACACATTTCTGGTATCATAAGTACTCCACTGCTGCATCAATGTTAGTAATGACTATGATGATAGTTATCTTTGAGATATAATCATTATATCGTTAGAAAGCCAACTGCTGCTTTGTTGACTACTACTCATCACTTTTGGATTAGTCTAATATTATGGGGGTGCTTAGATCCCATAGATGAATTTGGCATGGTCCTGGAAAAGGCACTTTCATTTCCAACATCGCAGGGTGGAGTTAACAATTTCAACAATAAATGCGTTTTCAAGTACTGTATATCATGATGATCGAGTGTCCATATTATGTTTACAAGAAAATTCTCCTTTAAAACTATTTATTATTAGATTTACGGGATTTTGGACTTCCATGTCCTGTTATTTCCTCAAACTTTCCCTTTTCCCTCCTATGAATACTGTAGAAACACGGTAAAAGAATGCTGTTTACTATCAGGATTAATTGTGTCAATGTCCTGTTACAGCATTTCGAGGCCCTCGTGGAGGAGCACTTACGTGAACGTTCCCAGAATATTCTATCGTCTTGTAAATCATATCTGGAAGGAGCTCCGGTGGCGTATGCACCTGACAGTGGAAAGACTCGGCATGAAAGTCAAAACGGTGCTTCTACAGGGTTCAAAATCATGCTAGGAAAGCTCTTCTCAAAGCTTGTGGAGGCATTTTCTGGTAAAGGAATTGATTGCAGCCAATTCATTGAGCAAGAGAAATGAATAGGCATAGCAAGGCATTCCTCCTATTTTTGTAATTTTGTATGATATCAACGTGTTCTTGGTGATTTTCAGTCAAATACATAATCTCAAAAAACAATAATGTATTGTGGGTTGCGAAGACGGCAAAACTTTAAATAATAAAATAAAATTTGGATTGGTGTGTAAATGATTTTATAGTGATGGTGTCACTGCTTTTTTGAATTTCCTTTGGAACAAGGTCAAAGCAGCTTGCGCGGCATGAAATTCTTACGACTGATTGGTTCTCCAGACTCCAAGTTGCCCGCAACCAACAGAAGAAAAAAAATGATGTTTTTATGCAAAATATTTTTATTGTCGATGAGAATTTTCTTTTTCTAAGTGAAAATGTAGGCCAGGAAGAAATAAATTTAGCTCAGCTCTTTGGCTGTTAAGAGTTGAATTTGAAGGGGTGTGAAAAACTTCGATGGTAAACATTATGATTATGAAGTTGTAAGATCAAAAACATTATGATTTCTATTTCATTGTTTATGTTTATGATTAGAGAATTGCTTGCGGCGGATGTCTTCTTGCAGGCGCATCATGCAACCAGTCCTCTTCGCTGAAAAGAATACGCTGCAGAACACTGTTCTGCCAAATGCTGCAGATATCCAGGCAAATCATTTCACATTTGTTACCTTTGAGAATTGTACCAACTGATTTTCTTAAAAAGATATTGAATTCATCAGAGTTTAACATATGTGATAATCTTACAAGATCACGCTTCTAAAGCTAAATGAACAATTGATGGTTCGTCTTCTTGTTCTTTTTCTTATTACTCTTGTATTCGCTACTTATGCAATGCCTTAGATCACTAACCACATAAAGAAAAGCACTGTTTTTCTGCAGCCAGTGTGGCTTTGTATTTGTCAAGGAACACTGAACGATTTGTAGATTCTTGCGGGGTGATCCAAATAGTAATAGCTTAATGACAACATTTCAGGAAGTAAGGCAGCTATTGTGCAAATGAATTTGGTGATGATCCCTTCATCCCCCACGTCTACAATGATTCATGTCTTAATCAAGAGGATCCAGGCTGAAAAATGAGCAATCGATGCCCTTCATGTGCTTTTCTCAACCACAACATGGGACTCCCATTGACCAGTTAAATGTTGATGCGTCTCCAAGTCTATTTTTGGGTGATACATCGAAGCACAACTAGATGATATTTGTTTCGTACTGGTTCAAAGATGCAAAAAGGAGTCTTCACCAATAATCCAGACAAGAACATGAGCCATTCTTGAAGTGGTGGAAGCGCAGCTTATCACGAACAATAATCTCTCTATTGGAGATAATTGAAATATATTTAATGGCAGAATGGCAATCTTCACACATTCGAAGGTTCTTCACAATCCTAATAACAGTCCCACGGCTGGTTTTCAACAGCCCAAATGCTATCGCAAGCTTCTCACTATGGTATCCTAGTGCATATTCTCTCTCCTCCTCTTCCAATTCATGCATAACTGAATTGGATACTGCCACATAACCAGCTTCTCTACACTTCCGCGTTAACTGATCTAGGTAATGATAAATTTCATTTGTCTCAGTGTGAGACTTGTCCCCCATGCTAAACAAATAAGTCTTACGATCCAATTCTATTGTACTATAGCCAACTTGTTTCTTTAAGCATTTTCGAATCATATTGTCTCTAACCATTTCAACTTGGTCCATTCTGCCTGCCAGGGCATGTATATTTGAGAGGATCACATAATGAGCTGGATTTTCTGGTTCAGACGCTAAGAGATGCTCAGCAACTTGAGCTCCAAGGCCAAAATTCTTATGCATCTTGCAAGCTCCAAGCATCGCTCTCCAAATAGCAGGTTCTGGCTCTTCATGAATTTCTTTGATAAAATTGTATGCTTCATCGAGAAGACCAGCACGACCAAGCATATCCACCAAGCAAACATGACGCTCCACTTCAGGCACCAAACGATACTCTTCTCGCATGCTTTCAAACACCCGGCGCCCTTCATTCACTAACCCCGCATGAGCGCATGCTGACAAAACAGCAACAAATGTGATACTATTAGGAAGCAATCCATTTCTTCTCATTGCATGAAACAACTCGACTGCTTGGCTACCATAACCATTTGTTCCATACCCAGAAATCATTGCCGTCCAGGCCACCACATTCCTTTCCTTCATCGAATCAAAAACCTCCCTCGCTTTACTCACATTCCCACAACTTGTATACATATTAATCAACGAAGTGCCAAGCACTACATTCAACTCCAAACCATTCCCAACAGCATACTCATGCACCCAACACCCTAAAACAAAAGCACCCAAATGAGCACAAGCGGATAAAACACTCGCAAACGTGGCCGAATTCGGTTCAACACCCATTTCCTGCATTCGGTCAAACAACCTAATTGCCTCTTTAGCAAACCCATTTTGCTCATACCTCGAAATCATCGAATTCCAAGTCACAACACTCCTGTCACGCATTTTGTCAAACACCTTCCTCGCATTACACAAATCACCACACTTTCCATAAAAAGACACCAAAGCAGTTTGAACATACACATCCGATCCAAACCCATTTATCAAAACATGACCATGAACAATCCTCCCATGTCTCAGAGCCACTAAATCAGCACAAGATTTAATCACGCTCGTAAGAGTATAATTTGAAGGAGCAACATTGGAAAGGACCATGCGGGTATAGAAGTAAAGGGAATAAACAGAGAAGTTGTGGAATTTGGAGGTGGATCTGATAAGGGAAGTGAAGAGAAAAGAATCTGGATATGGGACAATGAGAAAGATTTGACGCGTGTAGCTTATGGAGCCAGCAGCGCAAGCTAAATTGAGAAGCTTAGTAAGAAGGAATCGGCTGCAACCATAGCCTGAGACTATTACATGGGCGTGGACTTGGTGAAGAAGTTTGAGACGGGGTCCTGCTTGGAGAAGTAAATTATAAGCTGGAGAATGTGGATGCTTATGGTGTTGTTTAATCTCCATAAAAGTTCGCCATGGAACTGCTACTGTGTTATTCATGTGCAATTTCGGGGGTGGGGAAACGTTTTATTATTTGAGAAATGTCAAAACTGTTAAATATTTTATTTTATCTACTTGAGTTAACCTCGGAATTTCTTTTATTTACTTATTTTTTATAGTGTGGTTGTAGTTAAAGTTGTTTTTTAAATAATTTTTTGTATGTAAAATATATTTTTTATTTTGATATTATATATTAAAATTATTTGAAAATACTAAAAATATATTAATTTAAAATAAATAAATAAAATTTAATTTTTTTAAAAATATTTTAAAAACATAAAAACCAAAACATCTAAACCTGTTAAATATTGATGTGGTTGATATCAACTAAGACATGGCCGTTTTCTACAAGCATAGAGTGAAAGATCTTGCTCCAAGATCATATATAAAAGGTTGCAGAAATTTGAAGAACAAAAAAGGAAAAAAAACAAATGGAGACGGTAAAAAAAAAAAATTAAAAATGTCAATAGTGCATCACTCCAGCATTAAATGGGCTCCTAAAAAAGAAAGTCTAAGTAACATGCGTAAATTAAAAAAATATTATATATATATATATATAAATTAAAAACTAAATGTTAAACTGAAAAGACTAGATTTTTAACAAAAAAAAATATAAAAAACAAAACTAAAATAATTAAATCTGAAATACCAATAACAATAAAATTTATAATATATTTATTGAAGTAGAAGAGAGAAATGAAAGTAAAAAAAAAAATGAATCATTGACAATAATTTGGTTATATTTAGACAACACGTGTTCGTAATAAAAAAAAAAGATAATAAAAAATAAAATAATATGATAAAAAACTATTTTTTTACTATTAACATCCAACATCATTCACAATACACAATGGTATATAGACAATAAATAACAATAATTTTTATAAATAAAAAAAATATTATTTTAATATTAAATTACACTACCATCCTCGATTAAATCAATAATTAAAAAAAAACATAAAAGATGTTAACATCCTCCATCTAACCCAATGAATTAATTTTTTTCAATCTAGGGATACTTATGCAATTCTACCATATATGAAAAAAGAAAAATATTTAAATAACCCCACCTAACACTAATGATTTTTTTTACTCCTAGAGATATTTTGATTATTTTATTATTTATTAAAATACTAAATAGACAAAAATATTCCTATAAAACTAATAATAACATATTTGCTATATAAAAATATCAAAATACCTCCAACTCCACCAATTCAAAAGCAAGCAATTTTTGTTAGGGAGGAAAAAATGACCATTACCTTACAGTGATGAATAGAAAAATATGTGAGTGGCTATAGGGATTTTGCTTTTAGTTTTGATGTTTTTTGCTATTATACTACCAATGGTGAAAGCAAGTGTACATAAGTATTACACAAAACTCTGAATACTGTGGGTAAAATATTATAATTAAAAAAGTTTGATAATCGAAATGTAAAAAACTACATTATTATTTATATGATAGTGCATACCCTAGTTCTTTTAGTACTTGGTAAAGTAATATTTATTGTGAAGATCTTTTATTTTAGTTATGTAAAAAAAATATTTTTCTAATTCTAACCTTAAAAACAAAACAAAAAAATCTTATTATATATTTATGATATTATAGAAAACAAAACTTTATTGTTGTTAGGTTATTGAAGTGTTTTTATTTTTATTTTTACTTTTATTGCAAGTTATATTGAATTGTTTCTCAATAATCTTTTTATCCTAATATATAAATCTATTATGAGAATTTTTTTAGATATATATATTAGGTAAAATCATAAAAATAAAAGATAAAACTAGGACCATCTCATTAAGAACAAAAGTTTTTTTTTAAAAAAAAAAAACAATGTGTATTTATTTAAATCCTCTTAATTTTCATCATGAGCATAAACCTATTTAAATTGTTTCATTATAGTTTTTATAGATTTTATGATTGGACATTTAAAGACTTGATAGAAAAATAATTTTAATTCAGAGACAAAATTGTATTTACTAAAAAATGATGACAAAAACTTTCTATCAAGAACTCATTTATAAGAAAAGTAAAATAAAAGAACCAAAGTAAATTTCTTAAGAAATTTCAAGGATCAAAATGCTAATCAGCTAAAAATGCCATCTGCAAGCACAAATGTCAATTTTTAATACAATTACAGTAGTAATAAAAATAAAAACAAAATAGAAAATCGTTTTGTTGTGGTTTATTCACGCACTGTATTGTGGATATCGTGGAAGACACTTTCCATTCTATATTGTTTTTTATTTATTTTGATTATCTACTTTATTTCTTTTTACTTGCATGTTTTTAAGTCATATTAATATACCTTTATATGCTAAGATTTTTTCACTTTGCATACTCTCTAGCTGATACAAAGGGCCAACAAATATTTTGATATCAAGTTGAGAATGTATTTTGTTAAAAAAATAATCTTAAATTAGTCTAGAAATAAATTTTAAAAACAAGGAATAAAATAAATATATAGAAAATAAAAACAATGTTGTACTGGGGCAAAAAATATTCATTCTCATCCCTAAGTTTCGGCTAACACATTAACTCACCCTTAAAATTTATGGATGTCATGTTTGATAATAAACTTTATTTTGTTTCTTATATTTTTAGCCAAGAAAAATGTCAGTCAAGCATATTTTAGCCGCTAAAAAGATCAATATTATTGTTAATGAGTTTGTATTGCAGAGAAATGTTCCATGAAGAGTGTTTGAATGCTTTATTTTACTGGAGAAAGGTAAATCTTGGATTGACTAGTGTTTCTTTTATTTTAATTTTGAATTTTTTTAATCAATTAGAGGATGTTTATAGGTTATAAATAAGTTCAAGGAGTTCATAGCATGTTTTCTGGGTAAAATTGAAAAATTAAAAAGGAGTTCTCTAAAGTATCAAAAATCAAATTCTGACCTTTTGGCAATACAGAGGTGGTTAGGATCTGTATTAGAAGATGCACTGTTATATTTATATATATTTTTTTTAAATAAAGTCATTTATCTTACAAGTTTAGAAAATATTTAAAAATATGATGGTGATTAATTTTTAAAATATTTTATTTAAAAATTTATTAAAATAAATTTTTATTTTATTTTTTAAAAATTGTTTCAGATATTAATACATCAAAATAATATAAAAATATAAAAACTATATTAACTTAAAAAATAAAAAAAATATTTTTAAAACATAAAAACAAATCAATATTTAAAAAACATGCTGAGAATATTGCTTAAAATGTCCTTACACGAACGTGTATTTATTTTGGACCATGCATCCTTCTAAATAATTTATTCATGATTTTTTTAATTTCTAATTAAATCTTTATTATATGGTTATGATTGTTTTTTTAATTAAAAACAATATTTACAATAAAAAAAATTCTGGGCAAAATAAATATATAAATAAAATATTAAAGTTTTTACCAAATAAAAAACATTTTTACTTTTTAATTCAAATATTTTAAAATATTTATTTTAATTGTTATTAATTTTTATTCAATAAATCATGTTGGTTACATAAAAAACATATTATTATCAAAACAAAACAAAAATATATATTTTAATCATTATTATCAAAACAAAAAAATCTAGAATTTTAATCATTACTTTTATTACAAGGATCTATTTTAATTTTTATATAATTAAATAAAAATATATTTCGGAAATTGCTACGTGGAATTGCAGGATCACATTAACTATTGATCATAAAAGTGGTTTATATTAAGATAAAAAAAACCTGCATAGGGACCTTTAAATATAAAATGAATACTACAGGGATTGTGAAAGCATTAGGCCCGACAATGCTCGTCAGGCCCTCGCCTCTTCCTCTATAAATACCACACCAAAGCCGCCAGTTTTCACTCTTTGGAAACTCGAGGAGTTGTTCTCTTATTTTCTCTCTAGGGTTCCACGGGACGAACAAATACATATCCAAATCCGTTAGTCTAAAAACTTAAATTAAAAAAATAAATAAAAAATAATTCAAACCAGAAACAGAAACAAAGAACCAGAATCCCTATGGAAGACCTTGACGAGTACGATCATCAGCCGATGAATGAAGATATGGAACCAGAAGATGAAGACGCTGATGAGGAGATCACGCAGGAAGATGCCTGGGCCGTCATTTCTGCTTATTTTGAAGAGAAAGGCTTGGTGAGACAACAACTCGACTCTTTCGATGAGTTTATTCAAAATACGATGCAGGAAATCGTTGACGAGTCCGCTGATATTGAGATTCGGCCTGAAAGCCAGCACAATCCGGGTCACCAGTCTGATTTTGCTGAGGTATTTTGCATTTTTTTTATTTCTGTTTGTGTTGTGTTGTGGAAAAAAAATGGAAATTTTACGATTTTTTTAAACATTTTTTTACTGAATTGTGTTCCTAGGGTTTCTAGGTTGTTACTGGAGAGGCTTTAATTTAACTTATGTAGTTTTGATGGTGGAATAGTGGAGTTATTCATAAAAAAGCTGCTAAAACCAGCAGTTCAGTGTGGTCTAAGCCTTGATATTTTTTAATTCTTTGATTGTTTAGCTTCTCTTCTTTTGAAAGAGAAGTATGATACAAATGCTAGAAATGCTTTTGCTCTAAACTTTTTTATTTTCATTTGATAGCATCAATTTCTGTTTGGTGGTACACATGGGAAGGTTTAAAATTAACTGAAGTTTTTGAGAGACTGTTTTGGTAGATGGAGACTGTGCGCGGAGAATCTGCTAACTAAAGAAGTTTGGGCTATTAGAAATTAGTAAAAAGAGTCTTGACTATTCTTTCCATCTTTCATTTGTTTGAACACCTAAAAGAGACTGAAAAGTTTAGATTAGAGTATCATTTTTCATTGCCCCTCCTCCTCCACCAAGCTGATGTCTTAGTTTGCCTTTTCTTTTTCTTTTTTCATTTAGAGGTAGCACTTGAATTATTTCCAGAGCTTAGTTCCAATTGCCGTAGCCATATAATTGTTGACCTTGGATTAATTGTTGAGTATTCCTTAATTAGCTTTCGGGAAAACATATTTCCGTTATTTGTGGTTGAGTGGATTCTTAAGTGGCAGCATGATTTTCTTGTTAAATTAGTTATATGATTGAATCATAGACTTTGAAAAAATGAGTTTGGATTTGGTGATAATACAGTGAACAAATTAGTTGAATTTTTAAGTGAATGTAATTGTGGAATTAGGTCCAGAATTGTGGGATGTGTGGTCTTAAGATTATCTACTTTTTGGAGGGAAAATGATGGTTGCCTGGTAGGAGTTTCAGGTGCTGGAAAGAGAAAAGCTTATAAGATTCTGTACATTTTTGTTTTTGTGGTTAGTTTTTGGTGCATCTGAATGTAAAGCAATGCTAGGATTTTGAAGGATTATTTTCCATCGAGGCTTTTATTAAGGGATAAGATTTTGTTCCTTACATTGTCGTGGTACAATTCTTTGGGGGATTTTAGTGTTTGCCTAGCTAGTTTTGGCAGGATCAAAATGTCCTCTTGGCTTGAGTTTTGCTTTCTCATTTTGTTTCTTTTACGTGTCATACTCTCCAATATGCGATCCTCACCTTTTCTTTCATCAATATATTTTTATCCTACAGAAGAAAAGGAATGTTTGCTTTCATATTCACTAGGTTAGATGCTGAGAAAACTATAATTTTATATCTTTCTTGTTTTCTTGTTGGCTCTTAACACCATGGGCTCTAACTGCAGACTATCTACAAGATCAGTTTTGGCCAGATATACTTGAGTAAGCCCATGATGACAGAGTCTGATGGAGAAACTGCAACTTTGTTTCCCAAAGCTGCAAGGTTGAGGAACCTGACATACTCGGCTCCTTTGTATGTGGATGTTACAAAGAGGGTTATAAAGAAAGGTCATGATGGTGAAGAAGTCACTGAAACTCAAGACTTCACCAAAGTTTTCATTGGAAAGGCGAGTATAATGAATTATTTATTTGTATGTGGATGAATTGAGCTGGCAGCTCAGGTCTTTACTGCATTGTTGTGTTTTATCAGGTCCCTATTATGCTTCGATCAAGTTATTGCACATTATATCAGAATTCAGAAAAGGATTTGACAGAGCTTGGCGAGTGTCCGTATGATCAGGGTGGGTATTTCATTATCAATGGTAGTGAAAAGGTTCTAATTGCTCAGGAGAAGATGAGCACCAATCATGTGTATGTGTTCAAGAAGAGGCAGCCAAACAAGTATGCATATGTAGGAGAAGTTCGGTCTATGGCAGAGTCTCAGAACCGGCCACCCAGTACCATGTTTGTGCGGATGCTTTCTCGGACTAGTGCTAAAGGGGTAAGGGAATTGCTTGTGCTTGGATATGTTGTTCTTGAGATTATTTCTCCTTTATAGACAGTTGTTTACAGTCTTCACATGATCTTGTTAACTGTGTTTATTGATGTTATTGCAGGGCTCTTCAGGGCAATACATTCGTGCTACTCTTCCATACATTCGAACTGAAATTCCAATTATCATTGTTTTTCGTGCTTTGGGTTTTGTTGCTGACAAAGACATTTTGGAACACATATGTTATGATTTTGCTGATACTCAAATGATGGAGTTGCTTCGGCCATCTCTGGAAGAGGCATTTGTTATTCAAAATCAGCAGGTACCATTTATTTATTTATTTTAGTCAATGCTGTAAGGTAGTTGTAGTTCATAGCTGGAAGTGCTGTGATATTTGTTCTGACCATGTTAATCAGCACGAGTGAATTGTGATCCTTTACGTCTGATGGTATTGCTTAAACCTCTGCTGTTAAAATGTGTGTTTTCCTATTGGAAAACTGAGCTATTATTTAATGTGGCGTTTCTGTCCTTTTTTTCGCACTTCTCTCTCAGTATTATTTAATCATGTCCAATAATAAAAATTCATATTTTCCTCTGCGAACACTCATATAGGCACTCTGTTCCTTGTTCATATGTTCTATCGACCATTGAAATGACCTTCTTCTTCTTCTTTTTTCTATCCACGTACATCTGTGATGGTTTATGTAACAAAAAGTTAGGATTATAATGGTACTGCATTTATAGAGTTTGTTATCCTCTGTACATGCACTGGATTACTCGATTCTGTTCAAGTCTACCTCGCATGTTGCCAAGAACATTGCTCATTTTTTATTTGCAATGCTGATGGTTGATATGTCATGTGCTGTTGTTTGATTCAGGTTGCTCTTGACTACATTGGAAAGCGTGGGGCAACTGTTGGTGTAACTAGGGAAAAAAGGATTAAGTATGTGTTAGCAAATTTACTTGGGCGGCAAGATGATTCTTAAGAAATTTTATAATGTTTAAAGATTCATCTTAACAGGTATGCCAAAGAGATTCTTCAAAAAGAAATGCTTCCTCATGTTGGTGTTGGAGAATTCTGCGAGACCAAAAAAGCTTATTACTTCGGGTAAGATTTTTTATTTTGGTGGGATACTTACGAATGCATATGTTGATATGGCATTGGCTAACAAATTCTGTTCAGGTATATCATTCACCGGCTTTTACTTTGTGCACTTGGCCGGAGGGCAGAAGATGATAGGGATCATTATGGAAACAAGCGGCTTGACCTTGCTGGTCCTTTACTTGGGGGCTTGTTTAGAATGGTTTGTTTATGGTTGGAAGTATTGGTGGATTTTTTAGTGGGGTCTTGAAATTTTAATGTGTTATATTATCTCATCCTTGCTTTCTTTTGGATGCAGTTATTCAGAAAGTTGACCAGGGATGTCAGGTCTTATGTGCAAAAGGTTTTTTTCCTTATAAAGCCTGCTTTCATTTGTTTGCAATTTACTTCAATTCTTCCATGGTGCTGACCTACATTTCTCATGGACGGTACAGTGTGTTGATAATGGGAAGGATGTTAACCTACAATTTGCCATTAAAGCAAAAACCATTACCAGTGGTCTTAAATACTCACTTGCCACTGGGAACTGGGGACAAGCAAATGCAGCTGGAACAAGAGCTGGAGTGTCTCAGGTTTTTCTCACTTTTATTTTGTGTATTTCCTTGTTGTCTCCTTTCCTATCCTATCGGATTATGTATAACTTGATTTCTGTTTGCTTGTACTGAAAACAATTTTATGGCTTATTGCAAACAGGTGTTAAATAGATTGACATATGCCTCTACACTGTCACATTTAAGAAGATTAAATTCTCCAATTGGGCGTGAAGGTATCACTTTTCAGGATATTTGATGCTTGGGATATTTGGGCTTGTGTAGATTTTTGCAAACTGTACCTCTCTCCCCACAGCTGTTTGTTCCGTGGATCATGGCGTCAGTACTTTGTTTTTCTGTTACCATTTCTCCTCTTCAACTCAATTCTGGTTTTTCTAACCAGGGAAATTGGCAAAACCAAGGCAGCTACATAATTCACAATGGGGAATGATGTGTCCTGCTGAAACACCT